CCCAACCCTGAGCCCTGGGCAGTCCCAGGGGAGCCCAGCCCCAGCTGGATTCACCCCATTCAGCACCACGGCCCAGCCCCTGCCCCAGTGTGTCCCATAAACACCGCTGTGCCCCGGCTGCACGTGTCCCACGCCTCCCATACTCACCATATCTGTGCTAACACTGGCTGAGGTAACCCAGATTGGAAAAAAAAGTTCCTAGCTTGATCACCTGTAAAATAAACAGGACATGGCTTGAGCTACAGCTCCAAACACCTGGCAGAGGGAATGGGGAATCAGCAGGCAAAAATACCTGTAACAGAAACCCAACCCATTCATGACTGATGATCATTTACAGAGCACTAAGAAAATTAAATGTCRCAAAACAGACTAACAAAGAGGAGGCCTCCAACTGCCTTTGAGACCAAAGTTTGATGAAAATTTAGTCRGATCAGTGCAATTCCTTGATTTCGAGCTTTGCTTCCCACTGCTCCAATCAGTTTTGCATTTAGATCTTTGGCGGAGGTCAACCATGCTGGTGTCCGTGCTTYGCAAATTGAATTTCTAAACCTGATTTCAGTTAAATTGACACAGATTTATTTAATCAGATCTTTTATTCATCACAATATTAGTGCRGTGGGCTGTCCCAAAGCACGGACTAAGAACCGATCACTACCTTCCCTTCCACAGCAGGATGGGGAAGAGAAAATATCAAAAAAAACCAGAAAAATTGGGCCTGATGTGACAAGACATATGAAAACTGGGATGAAATATCTGTTCCAAGTTGTTAATTCTTACACCCATATGTCTCTCAGGCAGCTCTGTTTAGGCTCACTAGTTCAGATAGAATTAAACAAAATCAGAAGTGAAAACTRTTTGTTTACCAGTGATAAATCCAGCTGTTGGTTTCAGACTATGGAACTGCTGATCATGTTTCGCTCTCTCCTCCACAGTAATAGCCCAGATATCCAGGTTGCCTGGTTCAAAAGAAATGGAGAAAAGACATTAAGAAACATTACTATAAGAACACCCTCTTTTTATTTTTGAGTGTAATTATCTCATATCATTCTGGGTCTCAGAAAATAACCCAAGGATGAAAGGTCATTTGTCCCCCAGGGCACACACAGCTGAAATTCCAGTTCCTTTAACTGCAAAGGTACCTCATGCCTTCCCAAAATCTCAYCTTAACCTGCCCAAAGAAAAGCCTTGAACAGACACAACATTTAAGTGGAACCAGAGTTTGTCTCCACACTGACATTTATGTTTGTAATTCTCCTGCAGATCAGCTGCAAAACTGAACTCAAATGTATTCCCACGATCTGAAGGGGCCTACAAAGAAGTGGGACTGCTAATCAGTAACTGAGTGACAGGACAAGCAGGRATGGGCTCAGATCGACAGAGGGGAATTTGGGTGAGTTATACAGAATTGTTCCCTGGGAGGACAGGGAGACCCTGGCACAGGGTACCCAGAGAAGCTGTGGCTGCCCCTGGATCCCTTTGAGTGCCCAAGGCCAGGCTGGACATTGGGGCTGGGAGCAGCCTGGGACAGAGAGAGGTGTCCCTGCCATGGCTGGGGTGGAATGGGATGGACTTTAGRGTCCCTTCAATCCAAACCAATCTGGGATTCTGTGATTTCATGTGAAGAGCAAAAATCACATCCCTACTGCACTGCCAGCGCCCATCCCGGATTTTTAACTGCATTTCCAGATGCTGCCACTTCCCCAGTTGTAAATGAAGAGCTAAAAAGATGTCACTTTTGTTCTATCCACATATGGGTGATGGGACAACAAGGAAAAGAAACTGGAAGTGATACCACACGAAGGCATCTGCTGGACCTTTTAGCAATTAAAAAGTTCAGGAACCCTCAAAGGAAAAACCATCTGCCCTTCTCCAGTACAAGTAGAGCACAATGAGGCGGTGCCCCAGTGCCAGGGGCTGAGTGGCCTGGATGTGCCTGGATGTGCCCTGCAGGGACAGAGTGTGGAGCTGGAARGGATCGATGCAGGACACAGGGATCTGTGCTGTTGGCTGAGTTGGGCCTGCAAAGCCATTACGAAACAGGGAAACTCAGCTGAGAGACACACTCTGCACAAACACTTCCCTATAGAACATTCTTGGAAAGGAACAAGTTTATGCCAAGTTTTTGCATGTAGGAACAGTTCAGAACATACTAGAAACCACTTACCCCCAAAAGGTGTTGGAAACTGAGCCATGGTTCTGTCACTTTTAGCTTGTTAATAGATGCCTGAAAAAAAATAAACACATATAAACACAGTATGTTCTATTTTCTGAATTATTAATAACTACAGCAAAAAAGAAGGCACTGAAGAAGCAGGAGTGTGTCAATACTTGCCACACCAACTGTGACTTACAGAACTCAAAGTGTGATTTTTGCACTTCCCTGCGCATCCATGAGGGCATCTCCTACTACCAAACAGCTACATTTCAGYTCTGCTTTAAGAATGGCCTCAAAACCAGCCTTTATTTATAAATAGTCAGTGATGGAGTGAAGAACAGAGCTCAGTGAGATCCCAAGGATCCAGGACTTTCCTGAGTGCTACAATCTCTGCTCCTGCTTAAGAGGGAAGTTGGCTCCATTTCCAGCTGTTGAAACCCAACATATCGTCACCAATCTAGTTTTTATGCCTGACAGAAAATGCTCTGCCTTGCTCAGGGTCCCTCTGTTTTAACCCAAACACATTATAAAATTCAAMCTCCTTTTCCAGGCTGCTTTACCCTCAGCCCAGCCCAAAAATSCAGGAGCACAGAGTGACAAAGGTGCCGTCGGAGGGCTGGAGAGCCTCCAGGAGAGCACCACTGGCTCTGCAAACAAAGCAACTACACAGGCTCCAAATTTAATCTGGAGAGAGAAAAGGAAAAACATTTTTCTTGCTGCACACAAAGCCTGACATGAGCTGCCCGAGCCAAGAGACAATGACCAGCACCGCAGCCGCACAACAATGAGCAACGGCCTCTTGTCCCGGGAGATTCCACTCGTGTCTTCCAGGCAACAGCAGAAAGGCAAAGAGGAACAGAGAATAATTTAGGCTGCTTGAACAGCAGCAGAAATTTATCAATATCCCTAAGAAAAGGCATTCACTTGCACCAACAATTTCCTTTTGTCTGAATTCCTGTTKGTTCCCCTCCCCATCCCCCTTTCACACTTCCCACATTCTCTTCTGGCTTCCAACTTGGGAACCTCCTCTGTCCCCTCCCCAGATGTCCCTGCACAAACCCCTGGCACTTTTGCCGGCCAGACTCCCCAGCAGTCGGAATTTAGGGAATGACAGACACAATCCTGATTTCTTTCCTTCATCGTTTGGCCAAGAATGTGACTCCAAAGCTTTGTCCAAGGCCAGGGAACACAGCTGATGCTGCTCCATGCACAGAGTTACCTCCAAAGTTTCAAATTCCAGACACAGGGATCCACAGTGTTCAGAACAAACTCCCTGAGGTGTGGGGCTCTCCCAAAACTATTCCTGAAGTGCTACAAGATCAGCACTTCTATCTTTGCCTGTATTTTCTTATTGTTCTCTGCTGTGGGCAAGAACTCTGTGATGCTGCTGGGTCTTATGACTGCAAGGAAATATTGGGGAAAAAATGAAAGGAAGAAAAAAAGAGGGGAAAAAGGAGGAAAAAAGAAG